GGTCCTAGCACGTGCCGAACCGTGTGTGGAGAACCGTACGGTTCGATTTTTTTCCGCGAACCGTTCCACCCCTAATATATATATATATATAATTTTGAAACACAAATAATAATAAATGAGGATCAATCATCTATTAACAAACGTGTGTGTTTATTTTAGTACTTCCGTCAGTGAATACACAGCCTGCAAAACACTAAAATAAATGTCAAAGAAATAATACAGTTAAACAAGAAAGTAGCCTAAATAAGAAAGTTAAATACACCCTGTCTACAGGATGCGAGTGGCGTGGCGCGTCGGTGTCCGGTGTAGACACGGTTCACTGTTTCGCCGCCAAGCAAGCAGGCGCATTAACTCCTTGTCTATCGCCCAACACAAAATTAATTTGCTGAATGCAGAATAAATTGTATTTTCCTGCACTCAAACCTGCTAATCTAAAGGAAACGCTGTGTATGGCGTTTGAGGTCATTTGTGAATTACCAAAGACTTAGACTTATTTAGACAGCCTAGTCTAAATAAAACAATTTGCAACTATTACTGTTATTACACTTGTATATAAAACTTCGTACTATGCTTGTTATAGTGTGTGACGTCACGTGCACTACCGCCGGTGTGACGCGGTTGTCACGGCGACCATCACAGCCCTAGATATATTCACCATACAGTATGTTTTCATAGCATTCAGTTGGCACGTTTGTTTGAAGGACAGCATTGGGCAGAATGTGGAACAGTGTGTTTTGTCAATTTAAAAAAAGGCGTTTTATCCAATTAATCGAAAAAATTATCAGCCAAAAAAATCGATTATCAAAATAATCATTAGTTGCAGCCCTACACCAAACCTCCATTATGGACATGATTTGTCAAGCAAAGACAAAACTCTTTTAAAAAAGTAATACTGAAAGATACACATTAATTTGCACTGGGAATATTACCGTATAACCTAACAATGATCTGAGACACATTACATTTGGGAAGAGGAGAATCAACCTAGATCAGCATGAAATGGAAACTCCTCCTACACGGAGTCTCTCTGCTGCCCAATCTTAAAGGCATAGTTCACCAAAAAAAATTTAATTCAATGACATGACTTTCTTTCTTCAGCATAACATAATATATAATATAATACTCTTCAAAATGTTGTCTTATCATAAAATCTAACTATGGCATTTTAGATTAAAAATGATGGTAAAAAGAGCGCACAATCCGCGCTCAGTCTCAAACAGCTTGTGAGCCACAAATACCAAAATGAGTGGCTAACTGCGCTAAACCGGTAAAATACATACAAAATTGTCAAAATGCCGTCTTGGCAAGTATCCAGTTAAACACAGTCAGTTTTGTAACGTTAAATAGTTGAGAAGAAAAGTAGATTTTTGTTTGTATATGCCAGGGTTCCTCAAATCTTGCCCTGGAGGGCCAATGCACTGCAGAGTTCAGCTCCAACCCTGATCAAACTAATCTATAGGGATGTAACGATTAACCGCGAGCCGGTTGAAAATCGATTTAAATATGTGACGATTCAAATCGGTTGAGATGCTAAACAAATCGCGATTCAGTTAGGGGTAGGAGTTTATATGAATGTACAGTGATGTGAAAAAGTGTTGGCCCCCTTCCTGATTTCTTATTTTTTTGCATGTTTGTCACACTTTAATGTTTCAGATCATCAAACAAATTTAAATATTAGTCAAAGATAACACAAGTAAACACAACATGCAGTTTTTAAATGAAGGTTTTTATTATTAAGGGAAAACAAAATCCAAAACTACATGGTCCTGTGTGAAAAAGTGTTTGCCCCCTAAACCTAATAACTGGTTAGGCCACCCTTAGCAGCAACAACTGCAATCAAGCGTTTGCGATAACTTGCAATGAGTCTGTTACAGCGCTGTGGAGGAATTTTGGTCCACTCATCTATGCAGAATTGTTGTAATTCAGCCACATTGGAGGGTTTTCGAGCATGAACCACCTTTTTAAGGTCATGCCACAGCATCTCAATAGGATTCAGGTCAGGACTTTGACTAGGCCACTCCAAAGTCTTCATTTTGTTTTTCTTCAGCCATTCAGAGGTGGACTTGCTGGTGCGTTTTGGATCATTGTCCTGCTGCAGAACCCAAGTTCGCTTCAGCTTGAGGTCACGAACAGATGGCCGGACATTCTCCTTCAGGATTTTTTGGTAAACAGCAGAATTCATGGTTCCATTTATCACAGCAAGTCTTCCAGGTCCTGAAGCAGCTTTAGCAAACACTGAGGAATCAAATAAATAAATAAATAAAAGAGAGCCTCCATAGCTTAAGGTAAACAGCAAAGATAAGTTTTTCAAAAATGAAAACAAAAAGAATAGTAAAACTAACGGTGACGGTGCTTGCTTGCATTTGATTTGGGGCATGTTTTAAATTTTCAATTTAGTCTTGTTATTTACATTTACATTAAATTAAAATTTTGCTATTTAGCAAACGCTTTTATCCAAGGCGACTAACAAATGAGGACAATTAATATAAAATAAATAATAATTATAATAATATATATGCATGAATGAATCATTCACAACAAGATCATTAATATGCATTTAGAAAACAGAAAGGGTGAATTTCGATTTCATGCTGACTTTAACACATTCTGTGGTATCTGTGTCTCATCCAGATTTGGAGTCTGTGAACATCTCAACAAACAACGCTTAAACCACAAAAGCGTTTACAGCCACTGCTCTGCAACAAAACAAACCACCAAGTGTTGACCTGTCATTTGAACAAGTTAATCAGCTAACTGATAATCAGATTATTATAATTTTTTTTTATATCAACAATTATCAAGAGGGATGAGTGAAAGGATATTTTAAAAAAGTCACAATGGGAACAAAACCTCTCCAAAACTCAAGAGTCAACGTGGCAGCTTGCTTGCTCGTGCACTAGCATTACCGTGCCATGCTTGGCCACAGACACGGCAGCACAACAGTTACACGTCCTGTGTTCCACTCCACTGTCCCTCGGCCAGTCCCTCTCTTTACAGGCACACTGTATCTTTCCTGATGGCAAGCCTAATTAAGCTGCAAGTGGTGCTGCAAACAAAACTGGGTTCTTCTGCAGGGTCAAAATAGAGAGAGGTATTTTATAATTAACAACCAGATGAACGACCAACCAGCATTGCTTTGGAACTCATCTTTGAATTTAGAGTTCTTCACAAAACACTAAAGGCAAATCGGCCTGGGTCTGTCGCCTTGAACAGAACAAAGTCTGGGCTGTAAGTGTGAATGACAACTTTTTTTTTTTCACCCTATGCGGTTATGAACATGCTCGCTGTGAACTTCTGCTTTAATGGCAGTCTATGTGCTCTGCACCCTAATTAACAGGTCTGAAAAATGTTGAAAATGTATTCAAGGGTTTCTGTGTGCTAATCGGCATTTAGACATGCCAGAAGTTAACACTCACCAACAACAAAAGTTGGAAAGTGACTAAAACATGCTACCCTCAATCTCATCAGAGTACGTTTCACACTCATACACTAACCAGACATGAGGGGTCTGTGGTTGGAAATAAAATGCTGGAAGGTACTTTCCCTTTGTGTGTCCTATTATGAACCCACTGTGAGAGAAAACAAATTGGGCTCTTAATGCATTGTGTATAGGGGTGCAAAATTGAAAGGGGAAGGGCACATATAAATATTTAGATATGCATTAAAAAATTGTCTAACAGATACTTTTTTCCAAGCATGCCATGTGTAATCTGCATGTGTAATCATTAAGGCTGATAATTACAATATTACTCCTTAACAGACTCTGTTTCAAAGAACGGCCATCAGTTGTGAAACATATATAGGTGCACAAGTCCAAACTTTTATATAATTTCCAGCCAGCAAAACCGACACACATCTGCAGCTGGTTTCACATTCAGCACTCTGTTATTCTTGCTTCAAGCATGAATTTACAGAGTATTTGGTGTATTTACATGCAATAAAAGGATACCACATGTAAGAGAAGTCGCAGCTCATGTGTGTATCTGACAGAGCGCACTTTAATAATGCTGATTTTCTGCAGTAAACTACAGGCTGTGGTATAAACTCACACTAATGGCGTTAGCCAGCAAGCTACTTGCTGTTAGTTCATAGGAGGAAAACTATTTAACCGGAAACCACATGCATAAACTAAATTTCTCGGCTACGCAGGGATGTAAATCAACCGCAAAGGAGAGCATCTATATTATTACTATATAGTGCACAATACGACGGGAGAGAGTCTAAAAGGGAAAGCGCCGTTAGCTGAATGTTTCACCTTTGCATTCAAACCCGCGTCGCCATCTTGAACATAAGCGCTGAGCTCCCACTAGCCTGCGTGTAATTCAACTCAAAGGGGCCAAAATCTTCACATTAAATAATACACTCACCTCATGTCCTTAGAGACACTCCAATAAGCGCTGAAAGGTGAGTCTGTGCGATTCAAACGTGCGGTAATATAATTCGTCGGCAGTCAGACTGCGCGAACACTCAACACACTTCAAACACAGGCTAGTTATTTGTCCTCACTGAGTCGTGGATATAAATTCAAGTCACTTTCCATATGATTCTACGCCAGAAATTAATATGCGTCACAAGTGTACCGGTTTCTTCTTGCTGAATGCCCGGTGGCTTGCATTTTGTGCTGCTCTGGTGCACCTGAGGAGACGAAGTGAAAGAGTTTTCCCTCAAGCAAACAGGATGAAACGGTGTGACGTTCAAACTCTCCCCACAAGCGGCCTTCACCCCACCCAAACCTCAGTCTCCGTATATTACTACTGTATACCAGGATTACAGGAAAGAGGCGTTTTATTTTTAAAAAAAAATCATCTTTTAGAAAAGAACTGATTCCCGTATTGTTTTGCATATGCTTCCGCCTTTGAAATTATTCCAACTAAGATATTTGTTAAAGATCATTTGATCAACTCTGTCATGCAATTGTGCCTTTTTTGGGACATCAAAATTATATGCTGTATATAGGTTGGAAATAGAAATTATATTAAAGTCTCCTACAATAACACATTCTTTTTGTGTGAAGAATTCGCTCTGCAGGTCTATAGGAACCACTGGTCAGGAGACGATGTTCCACACGGACACTTTCATGGCGCGGTCGAGATGTTTGTTTTTGTTTCCATCATACTTGTCTTTGTGGCTTACACTATTTCTATTAAGTTTGTGTATTACAGATATAGTCAGTTATGGCCACACTTACGGAATAAAATATCCACCCCTTCATACACCGTTGGAAACGCGAGTTTTTGTCCAACACAAGTGAGGTCCAGCGCGCTCTCACGGAACTCCGAGGACGAGAAGCCGCCCGTGACAGCCAGCGAGACTCGAGCTCTGTTAGTCACTGCACATCCAGATGATGAATGCATGTTCTTTGCACCTACAGTCTTAAAACTTGTTGAATCACACGCAGCTCTTTATTTGTTATGTTTGTCTACAGGTAGGTTTACTATTCCTTAAATAAATCATATTCATAACATAACCTGAATCTTTTTTCAGTTTTAATGAAAACTTTGACCTTGCAAATGCTTGTTGTTATAATGCACAAATACTGTACTTCGTGTTGAACTGATTGAATAAAGAAATTTGAACTTCTGCTCAAGTATTTGGGATGCTTGTATAATGTAAAAGAGACACTTAAAATGTTTCTGCAATGCTCAGGCAATTACAACAATCAAGGACTCCAGCGCAAAAGGGAACTGCTTGACAGCTGTGCAGTTCTAGGAATCCCATCCAACCATGTTACCATCATAGATGACAAGTAAGGCCAGCACACAGGACACACAATTTTCACCCCAAAATGTAAAAGCCTGTCATAATTTACTCACCCACATGCTGATCTAAACCTGTCATTGTAATCATTGTATGGAAAAAAAAATTAATGTTGACTGGAATTGTCCCTAATATTCTGCTCTGGCCCTAATATTAAGCTCTTTTTTGTATACCACAGAAGAAAGAACTTAATATGAAAGAAATTCAAAAGTTTGAAACAAAATGAGGGTGTGTTTTTGGACATGTATAACATTTTAACATCTTCCTCTGCAAGCATCTGAAGAACATTGAAAATCCAATAATTAAGAAAAATACAGTAAAACAGTAATATTGTGAAATATAATTATGATTTAAAATAAATTCTTTCTATTTTAATGTATTTTAAAATGAAAAATGTTCCTGAATTTTCAGCAGCCATTACTCCTTAAGTGTCACATGATGCTTCAGAAATCATTCTAATATGCTGATTTGGTGATCAAGAAACATTTTTTATTATCAATGTTGAAAACAGTTTTTGTTGCTTAATATTTTTGTGGAAATCATGATACACTACCATAGAAGTTTGGGGTAAGTATGGAAGAAATAAGGAAGGAAGAAATACTCTTATTCTGCTAGGACGCATTAAATTTATCAAAAGTGGCAAAAGATTTATTATTCAAATAAATGCTGTTCTTTTGAACTTTACTCATCAAAGATTCCTGAAAAAAATGCATCATGGTTTCCACAAAAACATTAAACAGCAGCATGTGTGCGTACAAATATATATAAGTATGTTGATGATTAACAGGTTTTCTTCCACAATGCAGTTGCTTTTAATGAATGAATATGATAAAGACCTCACTTGATGGGTAAGATGCGCAGACCTGCCAAGCTCAATCTTAAGCATAACTCCACTAAGATAATAAAATTGTGTCAATCCATAAGTTCCCAACACTGACAATAAGCCCTTCTCTACTCTTGGAGGTTTGTCCTCAGAAAATAAACATTTAGGTCCAGTTCGGCCATCCCCCGAGGCTACAGCTGCAGCGAGGACACCCATTAAGGGTGTACTATGCTTGGTCTGGCCCCTCCTCTTCTCCCTTGGCTGCCCTGTGAGCAAACAGTGGCCAGCCTACAAATGAAACACCTCCATTCTGGTCACAACAGAGGCACAGACAGCTCAAGCTGATGTATGGGTGCTCGCTCTGTCACCGGAGGACATAAATGACCAGGCTGGGAGACTAAAGAGCTCTATGCTGACACAGCCTGAAAGAGTCCATGGGGCAGGATTGTCAAAAATAGTCATTGTGATGCCACAATATCAGTTTGATGATGTTGTAAACTCCTTCACATCTGTGTTGTGTTATCTTAGTCACGGTTGAATTTTCAGTGTTTTCCTGAATCATCAGCTCACTCTAATAACTATCAACTATATTCCAGATTTCCAAAATACTGACCACCCAAAAAGGTTTCTCGCTACCCACATATTCCATCATTGCTTAGCTGTGCCAGAGTCTGGCTGAGCTGCAGATCACCAGCAGTAGTCTTAAAGAAACACACATCAGTAATGTAGTTTATGTGTAATATAAAGCTTGGGGTGACTTTAAGACTCTTAATGTTTTTATTTAAGACTGTTCTCCTAATGCTTTAAAACGCTTAATGTTTTTTAAAATCTATTTCAAAGAAATGCTGATCTTTTGAACTTTATTCTTCAAAGAATACTGGAAAGAAATGTATCATAGTTTCCACAAAAATATTAAGGAGCACAACTGTTTTCAACATTAATAATAGTAGTAAATGTATATTGAGCATTAAATCAGCATCTTAGAATGATTTCTAAAGGATCATGTGACACTGAAGACTGGAGTAATGGCTAAATATATTAAAGGGGGCATAAAAAATAATTAACGGCCTCAAACTTTTGAATTTGTGTAAGTGCTGAATGCCAGTCCCATCCATGGACCACCAAGTAGACATTTGGATTTTAGCTTGCAGCTGGACTGAAAAAATAATTTTCTTAAATGTTTAGATGTTTTACTTGAAAACAAGTGAGGTTTTAGTGGGGTTTATGCTTAAAATGTGGACCAAAAAAAACATTTGCCAGTGGGTTAAGAAAAATCAACTTCATGGAATGGACTCTGCACAATCTCTATTGGCTGTGACAGGACAAAGCAATCTTGATATTATCCACCTTTACGCTAAAGGTAAGCTTCTCTGAAACTCACCACTAATACGTTATGTTTTAATATAATATACTAAAATGTTATGTTTAGTACAATTAACATATATATGTTATACTACATTATAATGTAATATAACTATAATTATAGTTGTGATTAACAATTATTAGAAATATGACAGAAAGAGTTACTACTTCAGTTTCCTATGGGAGAATACTATACTGGAAGCTTGTATAGCAAATATTTTAATGGAAATGTAGCCAGTGACCAAGCTTAGAGTATATTTTTATTTATAAAAAGTATATTTTATATTTCTTACTGTAGTTTTACATATCTGACTAAAGATAACACTTAATATCTTGCTTCTCAAATAAATGTATTTTGTTTCACACATATTTTAGGCATTTTATTGGAGAGAAAAAAAAAAGTATTTTAGCTCTAAGCTTCCTTATTGGTGTTAGTGTTTTCTTGCTTAAATGCTGCAGAGCCCCAAAGGTCCAAAACACCATTGCCTGGCTGAAACATCTCCACATTTAGAGTTTGTTAGTTTCTTGGAAGGATGGAAAAACTAAAGCATAATGGGCCGGCTAGCTGTCCCTTGAGTATGTGTGTGACTGATTGTTTCAGAGATTATACTTTTACTTGGGCTGACATCTAAGCGTTCCCAAATTTAACGAGACAATATTTCCTGGTTTGTTGTATGATCGGACACTGAGATACGCCCTTGTTTTGACTGCTTTGGACATGGCTGTCAAATTGACCTCTATTTGGGTCGTTCAGCTCTACCATATGACATATGTTACATACAAACCCTGAGTTTGTGTAGTACGAAGCCTTTGTGTAAATATGGGGTCAATGACCAGTTGTCTTGTTTTAGATCGCTCTAGTGGCGGTACGCGGAATCAGGGTGTGTTCTGAGAAGCCTGGGAGTGTTTGTGTGTGCTGACTACTGTAGGTCATAAGCATCATGTAAACTCAGACACCCACCTGGAACTTTCATAATCCGCTGGCACGACGCCCAGTCCGCCTGTATCTCTCTCTCTCTATTGCTCACCCTAGCTTTATTTTTTAACCTAATGTATACACTTTGATCCTTTCTGACTCACTCTATCTTTTCTTTGCTCACCTTTCCCACCTTATCTCAGTCTTTACCCAGGAGCTGACTCTCTAATCTTTATGATCCTTTCCTCTAGTCATTCACAAGCACGTACACAAACACGCAAAGGTTTAATTTCACCTCACATTTGGCAAAAACCCAGATCACATATGACAATAAATGAGCTTTGGTACAGCATATATCACTTCACTCTCAAATACTCCATTCGAGGTCATCCTGATTTGTTTTTCTATTTTATCTACTACAGTATGTTACAGAATTGGCTGGAGATTCAAACCAAAGCATAGTTAACTGACAACTGCAAGATGTAATCTCGCAAAGATGAGCTTCTGGGTCTTGCGTTTGCATAGCATGACCTCAGCAGACTGTGGTAATCTCTAGCTTTCATGTGCACATTTAAGCTTTTGTGTGTGTGTGTGCGTGTGTGTCTATGTGTGTTTGCGCATCTGAGTCCAGGCAGGGCCATCTGGGCTCTGAGCTGGTTCAGGAAAGGTCGCTGTGTAGTGATCAGGATTGGTGTGCATGCAGTGATCCTATTCAGTCCCTGCTGTCAGCAGCACTGACCTCTGTTGTACAGACAGTTCTGAACACACACACACACACACACACACACACACTCAACTGAGTAGACAAAGGTTACCTAAGTGCACATAGTTAGAGTGACAAAGTCTTGTGGACTTTAGTCTCAGTCTCAGACAGCATGGCCACAGACCGCTCACACTCGTACATTTTATGCAGAACTGGAAAAAACTGGTTGAAGTCTGCAATTTATCAGTCCACCAGGAAACAAAGTTGTTTTTACAAGGCGCTTATTTTGGTCGCTGGATTTACAAAGTTACAAAGTTTACAAAGAGCCAGTCTTATTTTGATCAACTCTACAGGACAATATATCTGGACCAAATGTTGCAACTTGCCATATATATATATATATATGTCGTTACAAACCCATAAGACCTTCATTCATCTTCGGAACACAAAGAAAACTAAAATAGTGACTTTATTCAACAATTCTTAAGTCGTTATTTTTGTTTTCTTTGCACACAAAAAGTATTCTAGTAGCTTCATAAAATTAAGGTTGAACCACTGATGTCACATGGACTATTTTAATGATACCTTTACTACTTTTCTGGGCCTTGAAAGTTTCAGTTGCGTTGCAGTCTATGCAGAGTCAGAAAGCTCTCGGATTTCATCAAAAATATCTTCATTTGTGTTCCGAAAATGAACGAAGATCTTACGGGTTTGGAATGACATGAGGGTGAGTATGTAGGGAACCCTATCAATTGGTATTAAAGGTTAAAATGAACAACAACACTATTATATTCAATGCTATTTATTTTTTACATTCAAATAAAAACGTTTATATATTTTCTTATTTATTATTTTCTTTCAGCTGAAACACTGATTAAGTGATTATATAAGACATGATACATTTTGGTAAGCTATACTGTATCTTTCAACATACCTTCTGATGTTCATTCATGTTTATTTTTCGCTATAACTTATTAAAGTGGAAGAGACTCGCGCTCCGCGCTGCTGCTTGAACTGAAGCTGCTACAGCTATCTGTCACGCCACTTTTAAGAGCGTCAAAATGGTATTTATTGTTTGACTTTGTGATAAAACGTACAGGATTTGAAAGCTGGGACTTTGTTTATTTGGTTCAGAAGTAACAAAGCACAAAGCTCTTTGTGATAATTGGATTGGAGGTGCATTAC